CCCTCTCTCTCTCTCTCCCTCTCTGTTCTCTGTCTTCGCGCCTCATGCCCACCCAATCGTTGCGCCTTTGAAGAGAGACGCCGCCGCGAAAGCTTACGAGGAGATGTCGGCGGCCGGTATTCCTGAGTACAACATCCTCATCAAGGTAAGCGAAACAACGTCAGCCTCCATCATGAATTCTTAACGCGACAATTGGCACGAAATTTCTGCGACAGCAGACAAAAAGTCAAGCGGTCTTCAGTGCCACCATCACAATCATTCGCACTGTATATTGTGGAGATATCTTGTCGTCGAACATCTGCTGCGGGTGGATGACTCCCTTGCTTCTAGCGGGGGTTCTTGTCCCGCAACAACGTCTGATCGTTTTTTTTCATGGGCACCGTGTGCGCACCTGCTGCGAATGCCGTCGGCGCAACGGATGGGGATCGTTGCCGTTGTTTGACCCCAAGTATTTGATTTCTTAACTCAGAGATGAGGGGGGTGTGTGTGTATCGCTGTGCTTGTAGGTCGCTGGTTTCTTCCTCACAGAAATATCGTGCACTTTGTGCGGCAGCCAGTTGGGGTACAGTTACTGTCGCTGTGGTCCCTCCGGTAGTCTGTGCTGCAAGTGTGGGTGTAGGGACAATGGAAGAGCCCCACCGACTGCTTGGATGGATTGTGGTGCTTCCTTGTATTCACAAGCATGACTTGTTTCCCGGCATCCGGCGGCGCGACGGCAGGAGGGATGCCGTGGACTGTATTTGTCGTCGTCTGTGTTGCGTTCTGCGGCAGTGGGCATCGCGCCGTGGGAGACCCAACCGGCAGTGTTATTTACCAGCAACAAGTATTCCCGTTGATGACGACGCAAGCCTCAGCTCACCCGAGAAACTGTTTTCCCTCAACTTTTGGCTTCATTCTTTGTGGCGTACATCGTCCAGCCTGCGGGAACAGATGACTACTTGCCTGCGGGAGTGATGGCCGTGCCAAGGAGCCAGCAGGTGTCCGAGGCGATCTTTGAGCAGGAGGAGAACCTGAAAAAGGTGGGTTAAAGCCAGTGCCAGCGTCGGGGGGCTTGCTTCGATGCACGTCTCTCCCGGAAAAGGAAATCAGCTTCACCCGATAGGTAGCACACGAGAATCAAGATGATCCGT